ATAAGATTAATTCAAAACCCTAGCCAATAATTTCAAATCGTTATTACTTAAATCTTACCAAAGAAAACCAAACCCTTTGTATTGTCAAACTTTTATGGAACGAGGATGAATTACGGAAGAAGATGATGCATAGAAGATAAAAAGGAAAGAGAGAAGTGTGGAGTAATTACCTTCAACAGTCATCGCCATTTGCTGAAGGGAAAGGAAAGCTCACTCCGCCGCCGATCCCAAATTTTCCTAGGGAAAGTATAATAATAATGGAGTAATAAAATAGATGGATAGATGATGAAAACTGAAACAATAACAGGACTTTACCGCCAGGAAACCACGCCATGCCACCGTGGGCATACCGGCACTGCTTTTTCCTTCTTTGTTTTGTTTTGTTTTGTTTGTTCGTTTGTTTTTGTTTTTTAATTTTTTTATATTACTTTTTTATATAATTTTTATATTTCGTGTTGATACATTTAATACTACAAATTTTACATAAATTAAAAGAATTAAATATTTAAATGACACGTTAAATTGTAAAAAAAAATTGTTTCAAAATCATTTATTTATTTTTAATGTCTATGAGTTAATTAAAATTTCCTTTTAGTTTTTTTTTTTCAATTATTACAATTCTTGAGGAATAAGAGAGGAGAATGAGGTGAAGAGTTTTTAAATTTTAATTGAATGAGTAATAAATAGGATTATTTTCATTTATTTTATAATTCAGGTTATTTTTTAACTTGGTTTGCGGATATGGAGAAGGATAAATTTCCTTTTATCATTAATAAAAATTTGGAGGGAAGTTTTTTTTTTTTTTTACTTAAATTTTGTTTTTGTATTTTTCATTTTCCTCTCCTTCCCTCACCTTTTCTTTTCTTCCGTTTGTTTCAAATCAAATCAAGAATTTATATTTTGAATATTCTGAATGAGTATGTATTTTTATAATATAGTTATCTATATGATAAAATTTAAACCTCTAAATGAAAAATCATCCATTTAAGAGTTTAGTTTTTTGAAATTTAAAGTCAAAAGTATTTACATAAGCACAGACTAAGTTTTTTTTATTAGTTTTTACATATTTAAAAATTAATATTTTTGGATAATTTTAATATTATACACTTACATCTATTTGATGTATTAAAAAATTAATTTTTTAAAATATTAGTTTGAAGACTTAAATTTCAAATTTAACCTACAAAATACATACAAAATAAATTTTTTTTACATATTAGCTGCAATTTTTTTTTTTGAAATTTAATCTCAGTTTGTAAATTACTAATATATATATATTTTTTGGTTATTGGCTCGTTTTTATTGTAAGATTAGTTACTTGCTTCTTCTTTTTTTTTTTAGTTTTTTTTTTAGGTTTTTCGCCCGGTATCCGGGGTTTCACCCCGATTAATTCGGACCCGACCCGCGTCACGTACTTGGAAAATGATAGGTGAGTCTCCCAGCGGGGACTGCTGCATACACAAAGTCTTGAACTCCAGACCTTACTTAAGCTGGAACAAGCCGTTTACCACTTGATCCAACTCCTCGTTGGTCTATATATATATATATATATATATATTTTTTTTTTTAAGTTTGAACTGGTTTGTTAGTGATATTGAATCATTGATCAAGTATGGGTGCCTTTAATTGTTGGGCCTTTTTTGATAAGGCTGGGCACAAGGTGAATGGATCCACCATGACTATCCAATGATTGTGGGCTTTCCATCTGGCCCAATACTTGTGGGCAGATACAGATTCTCTTAACTTTATGTCAGTTGACATTGGAGGCGAGTCTGGGTAGGCATGGGTAAAGTATTTGCTCATATCTGCATTTGGCTTGAATAGTGATAGGTACATGATTTTAATATTTAGTATTTATTTGGGTATTGAAAATTTATATTTGTTACTTAACTTGTTGGTTGTTGGGTATAAGTATATCCACAAGTATATTTGTATGCTTATTAAATTTTATACTAAAAATATATGAGTTAATATACATGTTTACATCATAAATTGCATTTTTAATAATGTCATGTGTCAATAGATAAGGTGAGATTAAATTCATTGAAGGGATGTGCATATGTAAAGTTGGTTGGAAGGATAAAGGTTATTTGATTTATTGTAGCTTGAATTTAAAAGGAACAAAAATCCCTAGAATTTGGGATGAAGTTATCCATGATTTGATTAGCCAAGAGACAATTTGCAGGAAAGATATAAATAGAAGCTTTCTAAATTTTTTTCGAAACACGGCCAGTCCTACACAGAAACTTATCAATTTTTCAATTCTTTAATTTCGTAGTGATTACTCACTTTAGCTTTCAGATTTCAATTTTAGCACAGATCCCAGTAGATTTAGGTTGTTTTTAGCATTCAAGTATCCAAATTAGTTTGTATAATTGCTTCTCTGATTTCCTTTCATGTAATAAACATCAAGTTTATTTTAATTCGCATCTCATTCAGTTCACTTTGGATCTATTAATTTAAATTCATGGTAGTGTAAAGTCCTTGAGATTGTCCAAGGTAGATTAGCAACTCATTTTGTAAGAAGGTATCCCTCCCTCTTGCAAATCACTTAAAGGGCGCAAAACTTAGTCTTAAACCAACGTTTTTCTAACCATCCTAATGGAGGTCGGCCACATGAAAGGAGAGGGTAGTTGGGAGAAT